GCATCCTCCAGTTTTTCGATCTTGGTGGCCCTCGGGTATTTCAGTTGAGTTCTTGGTAACCCCATACATAGGCTTAGGAGATGTTCTAATGTTTCCTTGGCTTCTAGCCCCCATGCATTTTCTATATTGGCCGTTGGCAGTGATTTGAATCTTAAATGCGTGTGGCGCGAGTAGGCAGTGGCCTTGAGCTATGTATATACGAAGGAAGATTCACCTCAAAATGCGGCAAAATGCGGAGCGCTTCTGTATAAACGCTTTCAGGAAGGGCTTCATCATTCGAAGGCGCTCAAGAAGCTGTAATTCCAAAGCAACGGAAATAAATACGGGAAATAGTCCAGGTATTTAGCCAAGTCGCTGCGTGCCTGGAGGCAAGTTTTTTTTTCTGACTGAGAAGGTTTTAAAACTCTGGCCATTCTATGCAAAAATAAGGAGTAAAGAATCGAGCTTGGAAGGCCTATCATCTCTTGAAAAGATTCGAAATAGGATAAAATATCCTTTTTTTCTAATTTTTCCGACTGGGATCTTATAGCATACTTCGCTTTAGTATGTCATAAAAAGAGACACTGCGACCTGAAAGGTATTTTGTTCCTCTAAATGAAGGCGCTTACTCTGTAAGCTCAAAATACCCGCAGCTTCCCTAATGAATTTGAATGAAATAATTAACCATTGCAGCTTTGAAGTAAGTTTATCTTTGTCTAGCCAAGGCTGGACAGTGTCAACACACATAATGTGTTCAGACGATGCCTCGTCCTCAAGGCAGAGCCGGCATATCGACTATCCGATAAGCTCTTCGGTGCATATGAAAGCGTAGTTGGTTGTGGCCCGCAAGGTACTCGGAGAGTAGCCTGATGTCATTTCTGTTTAATTGAATCACATCCGATCTATTGAGGGGTAGCCAAAGATCTTGGCCATTCTATGACCTCCACCGCCTTATACTTAGTACTTACTGCGTTTAGAGTGTATCCAGTCAGTAAGATCACAGAATGGTTTCGGTGCTAAGACGGCATTTAAGGATCATTTTCGCATCAACTCGTCTCCGCCCGGCACCCAGCACAGAGTTACTGTATTGCTGTCTGAATTTGCAGCGTGTTAAAGCAGTCTTTAACAAGTTTGGATATCGTCATCTTGTTTGAGAGAGCCCGGAGGCCTGTTTGGCTATCTGAAAAGATAGTAGAAAGGCGCCCTTCAAACTCTTTTTTTTAATCTGGTCACGCTAGAATTGCTAAAACTTTAGCCTGGAAAACCGTGTCTTAAAGACAAAGGCAAAAATACATATGTATATGTATTAAATTAAAAGTTCTGTATATTTTCCAGATTTTTCTACTGTCCAAAAGAAAAATCATTTCATTGCCAAAGGCATAATTATGTTAGAGATTCCACAGTTTCTTTTGTAATAAAGTTAAACAACGATATAAATATCATCTTGTGTTTTATACGTATTTGTCGGTCTAGGTCGCTGAAAGGCCTTTATATTGTATTTTAAATGTATTTCAAAAAATTAATGCATATCTAAATTTTTCGTATTATTCCTCAATGCGTAAGCAGAGTATCATTGTGGGCGTTCTTTTAAAGCTATTAGCTGTCTTTTTTTTTGTAGTATAGAAACAATCATTAAATGACAAGTACATCTATTATGAATATGCATTAGGGTGGTCCAAAAAGGTTAAGCTATCACTATATACTAGGTAAAATCCGGCCGGATTTCGATTATAGAAGATTCTATTTAAAAATCTAGTTTAGGAATTTTGTATTTTTTTTTGTATATTTTTTTTTATTGTTTAGGATCCATTTTAATGTTAGATACCATTAGCAATTAAAGTAAACAGTTTTAATATTTTTAATTATGAAAGAAGCATTTCCGAAATATCGGGCAAAAATCTATTTCTATTTTCAACATAAATGCTACCCGATACACAAAACTCACTTTCTGGGTTCACTGAGGAAGGTGGTCCGCAGAGATACTTCATTGCCAGTATAAAAAAATTTCGAAATTCTTGGCGATTATGCTTCCACCAAATTAAAGGATCTTCTCGTCTAAATTTAATAATTTTTGGCTTATCATGCAAATTGCTAAAAATCCTAAAATATATGTATATGTCACCAATAAAAAAAAAATCTCGACGTGCTAGAAAAAATATATTTAAATTTAACACACCAAGATATTCAAAAAAAAAAAAAAAATAAAAATTTTATTTCGCAGGCCTGTGTAATCTGTAAATCACAGTCGCAGACGGAAAAGTCATATTTTTAATACAAAATTATGTTATAACTTCGATTTCAGAGTAGAAATTTTGTATTCTTAATTACGTATTGTAACAATATCGCGAAATTTATAAAGGGCAGCAGTCTACCGAATATCCGATCGGATATCCGAATCCGGCTCTGATTTTTTACATGATATCCGGAATCCGGTTATCCGGTAAAATCTCTATTCGTCACATCCCTACTGAAAATCAATATTTTTCAATAATACTACCCAATTCTCTATTTTACCATTATTTAATAGTACCGATTTCGTATGGGTCTCGCCCATTAAATATTTTTTGGGATTTTTGGGGGACCTATAAAAAATTGTTAATGTTAAAATTTAAAATTTAACATTTTAATTTTACATAAACGATTGGCTATTGTTACTGGAAGCCTTCTGAAGAGAAACAAAGTTTTCCAATCGAAAGATACTGATTTTCAAAATACTACTAACCATTTCTACGAAATGGTTTCTCCCACATAAAATAAATGGAAAACTTCATGGACATGGTCAGATCTAAATATAGTTTTTCTTTTAAAACATAAAAATACTGGTATTTCTTTTTTTTTTGGACCACCCTAATATGCATGCACACTTATAACAATAAATTTGGCATTCTTTGGCAACGCTGGGCAATTTTATTGCTGATGCTGCTTTGTCACCACATCGCCAGATTTGACGTTATTATGCCTTCATTCAATACAAAGTAAAATACATAAACCGAAAAAAATTGGAAACATGCCATACTAATCACAGATTTTCCAAAATGTTTATTTAATATTAAGAACAAAAATATGTGGAGAATAAAACTAGTGGTGTAAATTTGCTCATGCTCTTCATATGCAAAGGGGGGAATCCATGGCATTGTGTCAATTTTGTATCACTTTAATTTTCATGCCCAGCGCACTATTAAAATAAGGCTGGTAGAATCGATGCACGTACACTGCCGTCAAAAAGTATTGGCAGAGCGAATTTTTCACAATATATGCACCAATTTATATTATTATACTTTTCCGCCATTTTTTTTTTATAAAAATGTGGTTCATTCTACAACAAAAATCATGAGAATATAATTCCTAAACTTTGTGAAAAACTGCGAAAATTCAGCAAATTTTCATGCAATTTTTCAACTTTTTAATCAGATTTTTTAGAATTTTTTCAAGTATGCAGCCCAATCAATTTTACTATAATAAGGTACACGGTTATAGTAGCTAGGAATTACCGTTGATTTTTGGCAATTTTTTTTCACGTTGTCTCTCCCATACACACAAATTTTTTCGAAAATACTTTATATAGAAAAAATGTAAAACACCCTCAACAAAAAAAAAAAATCTCAAAAATCAATGCGATTTTTGACTAACTCCGAACTTGTATTTTTGACTAGAATTTAATGCTTACTCAAGAAAATTCCAGAAAATCGGAATAAAAAGTTGAAAACTTGCATGAAAAATATTGAATTTTCGCGAGTTTTGGACAAAATTTAAAAACGATATTTTTACTTTTTTTTTGTTGTAGAATAAACCATATTTTTATAAAAAATTAGCAGAAAAATATTAGAATAGAAATTGGTGCATATATTGTGAAAAATTCGCTGCGCCAATACTTTTTGCCGGCAGTGTATATGTACGTTTTGCAATAACATGGCTTAAGAATAATTTTCTCACAGGTGTTGTAGCTAGTTTTGGGATTACACCATTGCGGGTATTGTTTCAGATCGGATAAAATACTACAGTAACTCTTAATATATATATTACTTTAAAAAATACGCAAATAGTATAGCGATTTTGACCATATACCTACGAAATTATGCATCATCATAAGTTCCGGAGGTATGCCCATATTTTTTTTTGTATTGAGACAGTTGAATTTTAAATTCTTTCCTTTCAAGCAAATCGTTTTGCAAGCTTAAATCATTAATGTATGTCCCGCTTTCCTAGTATCCGTGTTCTCATAAATGAATAATGACTCCTAAATTACGGTAATGCATACGGGATATTAGTATTCTCGTTGATCACTTCGATGAACCGTCATTTGGCAACTAGGCATCCTTAGCGGCTTCATAGGTCAGGCTATTGAACTCCAAAGTAATATCAACTGGATGAAGGATGTTTTAGAAACGACCCTGAGGAAATTAGCGCATCCAATGATTGTTTAAATTTCAGCAAATGATGCACTGGGTGTACTTATAAGTATTTTTGATTTCCCTTTTTATAATTTAATAGTTTTTGACATTGACAGTCGCGTAAACAAAGTTGCGTCAAAGTAAAGATGTGTCCATGACAAATAGCGCTGTGATGCGCTAAGATTTTAGTATACCAGGAAAAATACGTATGAACATTTCGTTCTATTTTTATGAATCTATCTACATATATATGTATTTATGTAAGTAAGTATGCATGAAAATCAATGGACACTTAACTTTGGAATTCACAAAAATATGTCACTAGATTTTGCCAAAAAAAATAAAATGAATCTGTGAATCAGTTTGTGTAGGAGTATATTTCTGGTGGTTATGAGCAATATTTTCTAATGGGCAGGTGTTGAAAATTTCCACAACAACATACATACATACATATGTATGTAGGATGCCCACGCAACTTGTAATTTAAAATACAATTAAAATCTGATTATTAGCTGCGAAGCTATTTTAAATTTTAATGCGTTTATTTTTAGAAATTTTTAATTTACCGTCATAAAGTATTTGAAAAAAAATATATTTAAATTTCTTTTTCCACTCCAACTTCATTTCCAGTTATCCGAAATGACGGTGGACCTCGCCGAGGAGCGCTCTACCGCTAATATTGCCACCGAGCGGCTCGAAGCCGAAACAGCCGAACGTTTGAAACTCGAAAAAGAACTCAATGAACAACAAAACAAAGTGAAAAATCTGCAAGAAACCAGCGAAAAGCTGGAAATGGAACTGATTTGTGCCAAATCCGATTTGAATGGCATATCCGAGGATGAGGATCCAGAGAATGATGAAAGTGGTGGCGGCGGCGTTTATAAATTGAAATATGAGCGCGTGGCGCGTGAGCTGGAGTTCACCAAGCGACGCTTGCAAACCCAACACGAACATGATCTGGAACAACTAGTCGGACTGAAGAAACAGTTGGAGAAGAAGGTAAGCAAATAGGCGAATTATGTGAGACCATATACATACTTTTGAATTTTTCTAATATTTTTCGCCTTTTCGATGTCAATTATAGCTCTCCGATGCCTATGAGGAGGTCGAGGAGCAACGCCAGGTTGTCGGTCAATGGAAGCGCAAAGCGCAAAAAATGACCAATGAAATGAATGATTTGCGTATGTTGCTCGAAGAGCAGAATGGTCGCAATAATTTGTTGGAGAAGAAACAGCGTAAATTTGATGCTGAATGTCAATCGTTGCAGGTTAGTTGTTGGGGTCACTGGAGTCACTTTTCTAATATGTAATAAATTTTAAAACTTGCCTCCAATTTTTTTTTGTATAGGATGCAGCTCGTCTAGAACGTCAAACGAAGGATAGGCTATCACGCGAAAAGGACGTACTCATCGCTGAGAAATTCACGTTGGAACAAACATTGGCGGTAAGTGAAGGAACAAAGAGAACGACATAGGGAAATGGAGTAGACTAAGATATTAAAATGGTTTGAAGTTCCTGTCCCAAACGCGAATATATTTATAATATCAAATAACCGATCTGCTATAAAAATTACTGTCAGGTTTTGTTATTCCAAGTTGAAACTGTTAGGTAGATAAGAGCCGTTTATTGAAGATCTGGATCTAATATGCATAAAACTATTGATAGTCCCCTATTGTAACTGTTTAGGATTTGGAAATAATACTTGGTTGCCTTCGTAATCCCATAAGACTCGGCATTAAGGAAAAACTTCTAAAGGGCATTGACTAATCTAGATCAGTTTTCATATTTCGAAATAATCTTGGGTAATACATATAAAAACGGCTGATATACTAGACACGGTTATAACTGCTCGACCATAAATTTACGTTCTGCTCCTAAAAATCTGCAATATTTTGTGGCGATATCAAATTAATTGGACAGTTTAACAAATATCCTGATTTCTGTACTCAAGAAATAAAATTTTCGACCATATAACTCCAGATAATATAATCTAGAGGTGTTAAATCGCACGATCTCGGTGGTCGATCGACTAGCGCATTTCAATAAATGTTTCCTTCAGTAAGTGGATTCCATTCCATTCAATTGAGACACGTCACAGGCCCGCTTTCAGAGTCATTTGTTAACTAATAGAAAGACAGCCGGTTTTAACTATTGGTCAACTACTGTGCAATGAAACGTGGTAGATTAACATTAATCTATTAGTTATGAATGACTGTAAAAATAATTGGCAATCGGCTCTATAGTAAGGACGATTCCATCGTCACAGGTATTTTTTCACATTTTGCGACTTGCAGTAATTTCTCCAAGGTCATAAAATGAAGCTAGTAAAATAAAAATAGTGCTTTTCATAACTTTACGACACTCATATATTGACAAGATTTGACCATTTATCTTAATATTTTTTTTACTTTAATTTTTTGTTTATAAAAATATAGTATATATTTTGTAACAAAACCCGTATAAAACCAAGTTTCAATCTTGTGGAATATTTAAAAAAAAACTTTCGTAAAAATTTCGAGCTTCTTAATTCTATTTTTAGAAATATTTTGAGTATGCAGTTTTGTAGCCCATTCGATTCTAGTATAACAAAGTGCAAGTTTAAAGTAGCTGGGATTTACCGTTTATTTTTGAATTTTTTTTTTTTTTGAGGATTTCCCCCATTTTCTTCCATACAAAGTAGGTTCGCCGATTTTTTTATGTGGTGAGAATGAGCAACACCTTCAACAAAAAAATTATCAAAACTCAACGGTATTAGCCACTTGAACCTTCAATTTAAAATTCAAAAGCTCGAAATTTTTACGAAAGTTTGTGGATTTTTATTTAAATGTTGCACAAATATTGCAACTTGGATTTATATGGATTTGTTTAAATATAGGTATTATATGTGCCGCTTACTCTTTTGTTAAGTGTTCCGCCGAAGTTTTTCTCCAATTTGTGTAGTGCCTCCTAATATTATAACACAGATTTAGAGACCTACAATTTCACGCCGCCTACGAATGGCACATGTTTTCATGAAAAGCTTCTTCAAGGCAGCAATACATTCGGAGATTTGCCATTGTCTGCCGAACAACGACCGCCGTTAGAAAAAAAAAACTGTATTTTCTCTAATTTCTGTATAGGTTGCAACCACAGCGGCCGCTAGTGTCATCCTAATAAATTTTCTATCCTATATTATTCACCTTTCTAATGCCACCCGAATAATTTTTCTAGGCCTTTTATTACAAAAGATATTTTATCTCTGGGCAGATCTCTTTATCCTTTACCTTCATATATGGCATATTATACGAAACATTTGTGGATATTTTTAGGATATATGTACATAAGTATTTCAGGCCGTCAGGAAGTGGCCTAACCCATTTTTTTATATTTGTACTAACCTACTTAAAATTTAATGAAATGTGAAATATTTTAAAATAAAAGTCTAATTCCTGAGAGTGCACCCCATAATACTATACTTAAATATTGCGCAATACTCAGAGCTACCATTTTAATTGTTTTCACTTTTTTTTAAGATGGCATACTTTCAAAAACTTATTTTGTATCAAAAAAATTGTATATGAAAAATTTTTCAAGAAAAAAATTTAAAAATACTTCTTTTTATAGAGAATTTCGGTGTATGTATGCGTGATTTGTGTCAAATTTTTTCCTCGCCCCGTTCTCGAGATATTTGGAAAACTATTAAATCGATTTGTTTTTGTTTTTGTGCCCTAAAGTTTTTGAAAATGTTTTAATCAAGCTCAAATTTCGTATTTATTTATTATTTATGTCTATGCATCAACCATAAAAATTTGAAACAAATCAAACATATGAAGTGTGAACCCTGTCCGTTTTGGTACGGAACGCTCCATATACCTTCACCTGAAATGCAAAATAACGTATCATCATCGTCACTGAAATGCAAAAAGTCGTAACTTATAAAAAATTCAAAATTCACTTCTTGATTACTATGATGGATTTCATCAAATTACAACTCCCCACATCGTTTTATGAAAAAAAAATTAGTCACGACTTTTTCCATTTCAGTAGCGTGATGTTACGTTATTTTGCATTTCAGGTGACGATACGTACCTCTAAATTCACTCGCTGGGTACATTTTGTTCAACGCAACAAGGCAACACAAAAATGCATTTGTTTCGAACAATGTTCGCGTTCGAATGTTTACATCTGCTTATTACATGATTTGTTAAGGAGTGTTGTTTTTGTTGTTGCATTAGTTGTTTATTGTCGACTTGACATTAGTTGCCTTCACACCAACGCATCGAACAGACAAACTTGCTGTATTTTAGTTGAGACAGTAGCGGCTCGAAAATAAGGAAAATACTCCAAATTAAAGTAGCATTTGGAAATTATGTATGTTGTATATGTGTTCATATTGTATATGAAAATTTAGCGTAGCTGCAGTTACGGAATCTGATCCGGTTCCGTAGACCCGACAGTCATTATCTGACCAAGCACTGGCACTCCAGCCTATGTATGTATATTGGGTCATATGAAAAGACTCCATTTTTGGATAAATTTTTGAGAGTAATTATCTTTATTGAAACCCAATTTTAATCAAGTGCTTATTGGCCATTATCATCTGTAACCTTTTGCCGTTTTTCAAGTAGCTTCATAATTCCATCGGTGCAGAACTTATGTGGCTTATCGGCGAAAAACTTGGCCTAACGATTTTCGGTGGCTCTTCGATCAGCCAACTTTTTAACATCAAGTGAGTTTTACACCGACCGAAACAAGTGGAAGTCCGACGGTGCGTGATCTGTGCTAAATGGTGGATGCATTAAAATCTCCCAACCAAGTTTCGTCAATTTGTTCCGAGTCATCAAATATGCGTGGCCTGGAATTGTCTTGATGGAACACACAACTACTTTTATGTTAGCCAATTCTGTACGCTCTTTCTTAGTTGTTTCGATCAAACGGTTGAGTTATGCACAGTAGAGAACCGGATTGATCGTTTCGCCAAGTTGTATCAGTTCGTAATGGACGATTTTCCTTCAATCCCACCAAATACTCAACATAACTCTGTTTGCTTTCAATCCTGGCTTTGAAGTCGTTTGTGGAGTGTTATCGGTCTTTGAGCATTATTTTTGTTGTTGTTGTTGTTGTAGCGGCTTACTTAGCCCTATTGGCCATGATGGTGGTGGTTGTAGCAGCGTACAAATTTCCTAAAGAGTTTTTGGCGTGTGATGCTGGAGGCACAGTGCTTGGCCTGATATAAAACTGGGTCGTTCCCCTTACGTAGACCCGATTGCCGTGGGAACGTCTATTGAATATGATCGCTTGCGTTGCTTATTCTCGCATTCAATCAATTTTTCATCGATCGTAATGATCCTCTTCAAAAATGGTTCGATTTTATTGCATTTCAGCAGTGTTTCATTGATAGTCAATCCAATTTCTTTGCTTCGAGCTTCTTTGAATGCTTCCTCTTTATAAATGATTCCAAACTATCATATGGTTGTGCCTCTGCAATCTCCTGACAGCTTGCATGCTGGTCTTGTTCAACCATTTGCATTTTTTCATTGACGTTTGCAGTGACAATTTTTTATTTGTATATATTTTTCTTTGTAGCCCTAAATATCACATTTAAAAGGAGAATAGTGCAATTTTCTGAAAAAATGATAATAGTTTTTGAGATATTCAAAAAATTAACTTGCGAAATCTCGGTAATTGTGAAATTTGGAATTTCCCAGAACTTTCGAATAAAATTGTAATTCTTTTACGTTAGCATAACTTTGTTATATGATAAAAGAAAAGTTCTGATAAAATTTCATCAAAATTGGGCCGATTCCAGCCATTGGTCTCTTTGACATAAATTGAACCGTATGTACATATTTGCCAAAACGTTGCCGTCTTTTTAAGTGGATTTTCTCGAAAGCAACTGCCACAAACACAGCAATCGAATATTTGGTCTGACTATTCGTTCAGTCACTAGCGCTTAGGTAGTAGCTTGTCATTCTTGTTCATAGTTTTTTCCCATCTTTATTTATGTTTTATATACATGCATTGTTGTGGTCGTGTCAACAACTTCTTTTGCTCTGGCTGCTGCTATTGCTATCAGTGTTGCCAGAAAAAATTTCGTTTGGAGCTAAATCGGTCGTAAAAAAGGGCTAAATAATACTAATAGTACCTAAAATAAAGAGCTAAATTTTTCCTTTGAAGTTGAGCATTTATTGACGTAAAGTTGCTTTTACATTTTCCGCAATTTTAATAAAAATAACGAATTTTATAAATTTAAGTGCTGAAAAATACTTTTACAACGAAAAGGTGCATATATTTCGAATTACTTTTTGGAGCTAAAAAAGTGCTAGATATGTAATTTTGAAAATAGCTAAAAAAGAGCTACGAGCTAAATCCCAATTTTCGGAGCTAAATAGAAAAATAAATAGCTAAATGTAGCTCAAAAAGCACCAAAATGGCAACACTAATTGCTATTTCTTCTTGTTTATG